TGGGATCTGGGCGCGGGAGGCACGTCGGGCGCAGAGCAGGGAGCAAGGGCGTAGGCTGGTGCAGGGCGAGGCTCGGGCGTGCAGGGGACCTGGGTTCAGTGCAGGGTGAGGGGATCTGGTGCGGGAGCAGGGGGAAGGCCGGGTACGTGGGGGAAGGGGGTTCCAGATCCATTTTTTTATTTCACTTTTTCTTTTGTTTTTGGGTTTGGGTTAAACGGGTTTTGGGTTTTTTGGGTCTGAGACTTTAAATCAAAATGGGTTGGTGTTGGGTTTGGTTTGAGTTTTGGAGTGGGCTTTGGGTTTGATGGGTTTTGGGTTTGGGTTTGTAAATTCATTTTGATGAACTTCACCCCTCCAACTTTTAATTTCTTCTGTTGAGTCCTTTTTCTCGTTTTCTTTACCATCCTCTTCGCGAAATCCCCTTTTTACCCATAAACCTAACAATAGAAGTAAAGATAACAATATATTAGTTAAAATAAAATAAAAATAAATTCCTATTAAAAATTTGAGTTATGACACTCACTACATAGATGACGATTGGAAACTTCAAAAGAAGATTATAATTAAGCTTTAAACCTGTTACTAGTCATAGAGGTGATGATTTGGGTGACATGGTAGAGAGTTGTTTACTTGAGTGGGGGATAGAGGGAGTGTATTGCATTACCTTAGATAATGCAAGTGCAAATGATGGTGTTGTGAATTCACTTAATCAATCTTTACGCAAGTGGGGAACAAGTATGATGGGAGGCAAGTTGTTGCACATGCGCTGTGTTGCTCATATTGTCAACATAGTGGTTGTTGAAGGATTGAAGGAGGAACAACATTCTGTTGATGCTGTTAGGGCTGCATGCAAGTACATTAGGCAGAGTACACAAAGGTGGACAAGTTTTCAAGATGCTGCACAAAGGGAAAAGGTTAAGTTCAACAAGCATTTATGGTTGGATTCAAACACAAGATGGAATTCAATCTACACAATGTTGGAAAAGGCTATTCAGTATGAGAGAGCTTTTGAGAGGTAATATCTTTATTAATCTTTTATCTTTTATGTTTTTTATTTTTTTTACTTTTCCTTCTAATCTTTACTTCTTTTTTTTTTTTTTTTGTGCAAGGTATTCCAAGCTAGATCCTTTCTACAAATTGGATCTAAGTTCTGGTGATAATGCTACTGGACCTCCAAAAGTAGATGATTGGGAAAAGGTTAAAAGGCTTGTTGTTTTCCTTGAACATTTTTATGAGTTAACTCTAAGAGTGAGTGGTAGCTAATATTTGACCACTAATTTCTAGTTACAAGAGATCAGTGATCTTTTTCTAATGTTGAATGATTTGATTACAAAAAATGGTGTGGAAGTGGAACTTAAAAAGATGGCTCAAGGGATGAAAAAAAAATTTGACAAGTATTGGGGAGACCCATACGAAATGAATCTGAACATTTTCTTTGCCTTGGTGTTGGATCCAAGGCACAAGCTAGATGTGGTTCAATACATCTTGACAACCATGTATAAGCCAGAAATAAGTGTGAAATTTGGGCTGTTTGTTAAGTCTGAAATGGAAAGACTTTATGAACATTATAAAAGATCAATTTAGCCAGGCTAAGGATCTTCTGCTGGGGTTGAGAGCCCAATTAAAACTTGCACTTCAACAATGACAAGTTCTTCAAAGTCTTTTGTTTCTGGTAATAGTTCTTAATTTTTTCTTTAGTTTAATTTTATACTTATAGGTATACTAATGTATTTACTTAATTATTTTAGGAGATGCCTTTAGTAAAAGGACTCTTGCTGCTTATAAGATGCAAAAAGAGATTGAAGCTAGGATTAGATGTGAAAAGACTGATTTAGATAAGTACCTCAAGGAAGATCAAGAAGGAGATTCAGAGGATTTTGATTTGCTCTCATGGTGGAAGGTATAACAAAAAAAAAAAAAAAATCTTAGCATGATATGCTTCTGCTTAGAGTACTTCTTCTTCTTTTTTAGTTTTCTTAAGCTCATTATTATTGCTTTTTAGAATAATTCTTATAGGTTCCCTATCCTCTCCGTAATGGCTAAAGACATTTTAGCTATTCCAATTTCTACAGTTGCCTCAGAGTGTGCTTTTAGCACAAGTGGAAGAGTCTTGTCTAACTTTAGGAGTTCTTTATCTCCTAAAACAGTTGAGGCTCTACCCCGTACCTAGGATTGGTTAAGGCCTAGAGGGGGACCTATTGTTATTGATGAAGAAGATATTGACAATATTGAGGCAATTGAGAAAGGTAATAACATATCTAACTTCTTTTATGAATCCTAATCTTGTTTTTTCTTTTCTTTTCTTGTCTTTATAGCTTATACCCTTACTTTATGTTTAACTTGGTTATGACTTATGACTTTGACTTATGTATTTTTACTTTGTCAGATTCTGATGGGAGCTCTCCAAATTCTTTTGTTCTTGATGACTGATCTAATATGGCTCTGCAAATATTTTTTTTTGTTAATATGGTTTTTTTTGTTAATATGTATCATGTCTCAAACACAAACAGTACATAGTGTTTGATGATTCTTATAGTCATTGCACAGCACTCACTATCACTAACTATACTCAACTTAGCTAAGGCACTTAACAATAGGAACTTAAGAAGTTGTGAAGAATCAATGGATTCATTGTAGGCCAAGTTTTTGTGTTTTTGTTGATGAACTTGGTCTTCTTCTCTTAGACTGGTAGTTGGTAAATATGTCTAGTGTCTATTGAGCTTAATGTTGGCTTATTGGTTGTAGTCATAGGCCAATTGTTTGCTTTTTGTTTTTGTAAACTTGGTCTAATTGCACAATATGATTAGTCTTATAATCTTATGAAATCATTTATGCATGCATGTTGCTTTTATATTCTTCAAATTTGGAAAAGTGAAATGAATGTTTATCTATGAGAATGGTTATCTGTGAGACTAGGAGTTTATTGTTTTATAATATAGTTAATTAATTGCTTTGCTTGGTTCATTAATTGTGCATCATAAATTTGTAAATATTAATGATAGCAATACAAAAAAAAAAAATGATAATTTTGAGCTTTTAAGATTGAATTTTGAATGATTTGAATTAATTGATAATGGAGAAAATAAGTTTAAAGATGGTAATATGGGATGGTATTGGTAAGGCAAGTTTCATTACC